GAATGATAACGTCAAGGGCCGCTTCTGATGGATGCGTCCAACGAATGGTAGACCGTGTGCTTCTGCGTGCAATCTAACCAAACTTGAAACTCGCCAGGAAAGAACGAAGGGCAGCGCCTCCGCGCCCAGGGATGCGCCGTGTAGCCCGCAGCAGTGCGAGCACCTCGGAGCATACCTGGGCGACACCGACACGTCTGCTAGAGAGTGGACGGCAGTGCGAGCAGCAAAAAAGCGACAATGAAGCTGTCCACAATCGCTGGCATCTGCATCGGGCGCATGCGGTGAGGGAGCGCAGCATCGGCTGGGTGGAGGAGGGGTCGTGGTCCGGGTGCGTGTGCTATGGCAGTAGCAAAACAAGCGTGCCTGCCTCGTTCGCACCTTAGGTAAGCGGGCCTTGTTGTTGGGGGAGGGCGCGCCTTCCCTCTCTCACAAAATGTGCTGCTGAGCCCTCACCCAATTCCTCCCCTAACAAATCCGCCGCCCATACAACTTTCGCCCGCAAAGACGTTTGGTGAGTCCGCCTGCATTTTGACGAAGTCGCAACATCACCAGCACCACTTTTCGCAACCACACCCTTTTTCCACGCGTTTCCACGGTCCAATTGCCCCAACCAGGACTCTCCCAGCCTTCTTTCTTCCGTCTTCTGAACGTCATTACCTTCAGTCGATTCTTCATCGCCGTCGCCAGCACCCACTGCCACGCGCATACTGACCGCAAAACAGACCTCAGTCAACACTTCCCATTTGCTCCCATCTAGCTACTTCTGTAAGTACCCACACCTTCTCTTACCCGAAAATCGCGCATCATCGCGTTGTGTTGTGGTGTTTTGCGACCGCGTCACCTCACGCGCATAGCAGCGCTGCACCACCATTACCCACTCACCACAACACTACTCCGTTTGCAGGCGAAGACACTAGCTGTGGTCTATACTAGCATTCTCAATCTCACCAGCAGCCATTGTGCCTTCCTGCCACGCTACTCTTACCTACTCGCTGCTTGCAACCCAAACAGCAGCTAACAAGGAACCACAGCCATATACACCACTCAACCACCACCATGCCCAAGGAGAAGACCACCCGCAAGGCCGCGCCTAAGTCCAAGGCTGACGGCGGCAAGAAGAAGAAGGGTAAGCAGCTCACGTGCATCTGCAGATTCGGGTACTGACTCCAGCAGACCCCAACGCGCCCAAGCGTGGTCTTTCCGCATACATGTTCTTCGCCAACGAGCAGCGCGAGAAGGTCCGTGAGGACAACCCTGGTATCAAGTTCGGTATGTTTGCGCTCTTTCTTCATCTTTGCTACCACTCTGACATTGGACAGGCGAGGTCGGCAAGGTTCTTGGCGAGAAGTGGAAGGCCCTGAACGAGAAGCAGCGCACTCCCTACGAGGCCAAGGCTGCCGCCGACAAGAAGCGGTATGAGGAGGAGAAGGCCGCCTACCAGGTATGTTGATGCGTGCACTTCAAATTGATGATAACTTGACTAACCACCACCAGAACGCCGAGGAAGAAGAGGAGGAGTCCGAGTAGAGGCTATCGCCTCATTCGTGCTTCCACCAACAGCGTTGAAGATGTCTTGTCATGGGCGGCTTAGGCTTAGGCTACCAAGCCTCTCTCGATTTCATTTGTGATCTTCCTACTTCTTAATGGGTTCGTTATCTCTTGCGGAGGAAGGTCTTCGGCTAGCCAATCTGTGGTTCATTTCGAAAAGGACGCTGGCGGTCAGTGCAAACCACGCTGATGGCGGGCGGTCATGATGTTTGGGCGTCTTAACCCCGACGTCGTGAAAGGAACATCACGAAGCTCATGACCAAGTCTATGTACACTAGCAATTGCGGTATGGAAAGTCTTTGCTGCTTCTACAATGTTTCCTCTGCTGTGTGACCGTGATGTTGATGCGATTAGGCTGGGCGTAGCACTACGCATGCTAACAGTAGCTCAGGTCCCAGCTCAGCCCCTGACGTTCGAAGTTGTGTCTTGCCTGAGGTCAAAAGAAGAGCATGACGGCGTGACAGACCTTTCCGTTCGTAGCAACCGGGAGTTGGTCCTCTAGCGACAGGTCTTTGTCGTTTCCTCACACCGCCGAACCGGGTGCCCGCATTCACGGTAGGGGTTGTTTCCCTGGCTTCACTACCACACTTTCCCGATCCCCACCTCCTCGATCCACTCACTGTATCTCAACTTGTCTATATGTTGTCTCTAATTCGTTCCTATTCCATCAATCGATCATTGCATCAAAGCGCCGTTGGGCTAGTGGTATGCTATCGCCTTCCCATCGTACATCGGACGACGGACTAGGCGGGGATCACGGGTGTATGAAATACCAACAATGCCTCAATTCGAATCGTAGAGCTAACAATCAATTAGTCAAACCCCGTACGGCGCATTGCTTTCTTTTTGCCGCTCTTCCACGGAAGGTGGGGTGTGTTTTTTGCCGGGGGTGTCGCGTGGGAGTGAAGTCTTAGTGATGTAGAAGGAAGGTAGGTGATGTCATTTTGGCAGGCATTGGGAAGGTGCAGGCGATTACTCTCTCGTTGGGAAATAAAGCCCTGGAGTGTGCTTAGGTATGCTCACTGATGAATGCAAGATGCGCGTGAGGCGCTGGTCTACGGTCTAGAGAACGTAGCTGGATGAACGCTGGATGGCTGGTATAACTCTTCGACTTTAGTAAATGTTGAACATTGTCTGGGTATGATTTGAACGCCTAGCTTTGCCGCCTCCTGACAGCAGAAACACATAGATCAGGATGGGTACGGAGCAGTCCAACCACATCGTTACCACCCATCTCTTTCTCCCACCTTTTGGAAAGATATCCATTGACGTGAAAAGCACTCTATGCGAATGCGCAAGGACTACTCTCTTTGTAAAACCACCATCACACCCATCATGCCTAACATGACCTGCTTCAGCCATGGATGCTCGCTCAACAGGATGGTAACGTATCCAACGAATGGTATGAAGCCGACGACGCTTCCGATGACATCTTCTTTGCGATTCAGGAAGGATTGGCCGGCGGCGTAGAGTTCGGTGTCGTCCGCGAGGTTGTTGTCGCCCTTGGTCAGGAGGCGGAGGGGTGTTTTGCTAGTAGTTGGGTCAGCATGAGCTTTGTAGTAACGTCTGAAAACCTGCGAGCTGATCTTGACTCCTCCAACCCTCATTGAGAGCCTCAGTCACAGCGAAAGGGAAGGAGCGCAACTCACCCTCCTCCATATCTCCTCACAACGCGATGCACGATCGGGATGTCTTTGCCCTTGACGTTGTACACCACAATCTCGCCCACTTGTGTATCTGCCCCCCGGTTCCACAGGAACAGCAGATCTCCTCGTTGGAATGCAGGCTCCATGGATCCTGACAGAACGACGACAATAGGCGAGGGCGAGTCGGAGACCACGGACAGTCCTTTCCACATCATGAAGGCGGTTGAGAGGACGAGCGCGAAGTTCAGGACTTGTGCGGCGAGTTGCCGCGGCTGCATGTTCGCAAGGCCCAACATGGCTGCGGATTGGGAATGCTGGTGCGAAGGTCGGAGGTAGAGGTGCGTTCGTTGATCGTGGAGTGGGACGTGGGGCGCGCGACCGGGTCGTAAACTCGCGTCTTGAGATTATGAATTCACCGCAGGCGTATGTGGGGGTATGTGTAGAGGTGGGCGGCGCGGCGACTTGCGCGTCGGGGAATTCGTGGTCGAGATGTTGAAGCCAGATGTCCTTGGCTTCGCTGTTGCGGGCAGCTTAGTCAACCTCCGAGATGTGAGCCATGAACTCCGCATCCCTTTCTGCTACTTGACCATAACAACACACGACACTTTCAAATAGCGGAACACGACTCATAAGCCTCAGATCCATCATGTGTCGGTCTGATAACGGTTGTGAGGGACTTGTCGCGCATGGGCGTCTGTTTTCGTCTTTCACCTGGCATAATGGCCCTCACCTGAGCCCGCCTTTACCCTGAGAACGTATTCACACGATGTCTGCTTATATTAGGCTTCGTTTAGACGCTCACATGCAACACTGCTCATGTCTTCTTACTCTCAATAGATTGAAATTTGTTCTACAACTATCACATAACTGTCGCTCACCAGCTCTCATTCCTCTCTGCCATCCTCCAAACAAACAGCTCGGTATTGCATTACCAACGATATCATGATGCAATTCTCCCCAGGTGCACTGATACTGTACCGAAGGTCCACGTCATTCTTTCCACTATGGCCCGCAGTCATCTGTGAAGAAGACATGGGAGCAGAAGAAGTCAGGGAAATACGACCTCATGGTAATTCAATTCTGGTTTTACTGATGGGCGAGCAGTTGGTCTTGTAAGAAACATTGTAGCTTGATGGAAATCTTGACTCTGCTAACTCAAGAAGTCGCTGGGCGCATACCGAAGACATAGGGGAATATGACCCTTTCGCAACCTACACGCACGAGGAGGTTATCGGGATCACGCCAGGGCTTGGTGATGCATATGAGATGGCTAACAACGCGCTGGACGCGCAATTGGGACTTGCTCATTGGCGAGAGCAATTGATAGCTCTAGCGAACGATGCTTCAGGCTCGGACACCAACATGAACGACTCGGACGATGATTCACACTCAGATCCAGAAATGAGACAGGCTCTCCGGCTGAGCCGCGAAGAATACTATAGTGAACGGTCGAAAGGGCGAATTGCAAATAGCTTCTCACATCCACCAGCCTCATTCCAGTCACCATCAAAACCAGCAAGATCCCCGGTCAATCGTCGCGTTCCTGTCACCTCCGGCCCCAGCAGTGCCCCAGATGCGATCTTGAACGTATGGGAAGCACCTTCGAGACCTGCCGCCAGCTCATCGCAGCCCTCAAGAGACCATGGACAACTTCGGGCCGTACCATCCCCACAAGATCGGTTGAATATCCGCAGAGGCATGGTAGTAGACTTAACAGATGATGGCAGCGTCTCAAGCTCGACCGAGGGAAGAACAATGGAACCAAGACCGTTCCAACACAATTTTCTCGATAATCAGCTTGGCGGCATGGGACGTCGTCGGAAAGAACCAGTCAGTGATACCATTGAGGGCGAGATGTAGGTTTCTCATCGATATCTTGGAACTTTTCAACTGACAGCATCCAGATCCGAAAGCAAAGAATACGTCAAGGTACCGGTTGGAACTGACCAAGAGATCCACACCCTACGGCTGAAGAATTTATGGGACCGACCGTATTTCCGCGATGCTAAACAAGGTCTCCTGCTAATTGATCATAATGACGAAGGCCTTTGGGAGCTCAAACACCCTGCTCTTGTCGACATCAACCCGGAAGATTTCACATTCATCGCAGAATATCTAGAAAGTGATGGATTTGGTCATCGGAACCCGCAAGAGGGTGAGGAAACGAACGAAGCCTTTGCACAATGTGTTGCAGCATGGATCACCGCGGAAAAGCTAGGCATGTGGGACATGCTGGAACATGTCGCTGAGAAGCTGAAGGGCATACAACCGGGAATGTTGGAGATCATGGTGTTCTGTCGCCATGTTTACGCACATGACACAACTTCAATCTCCCATGAATATCTTAAGGGTCATTTGGCCGTATACATAGCGGAAAACTTCTGGTCATACGTCAAGGACGACCACTTGAGGTCGAACTTCATTGAGCTACTGCAACACTTCCCAGAGTTGCAGCAAGACGTTTACGAGCGGAGGATTCAGGCGCTGAAAAAATGCGTTGATCAGAGTCAAGAAGATAGCGATACTGACATGGACTGAGTATGTCATGGCTCATCGGGTTGTTCTTCTGGTTTACGTGTTTTGCTTTCAAAAAGTTCAGTTATGTTTTTCTTCTAGGTTGAGAGAGAACGATGAACAAGTCTCTTATTATCTTCATCATTGCACTTGGAGACGCTATTCCAGTCCTAAGCATGTCTTGCCAGAAGCCTCTTTCACATCCTTTATCCAATAGACAAGCCGAATGATTGCCCAGCTTCAATTGTAGTAACTTGAACAGTGCAAAGAAGAAGCCTCAGTCGGAGTCGCTTTCGAACTCCGGAACATTCGGATCTAGGCGAATCTGGTCAGTATGCCATCTTGTTTGTCGCCTGCTCATCGCGCAGATACATACCTCGAAGCGCCATGTACTCCAACGTACCACCAGCCTTCTCCGCAAGGTTATCTCTCACCAGCGTCAACTCCTCTTCCGAGAGCAGCGTATCCGTATCCGCCATATCTATCGAGAGACGGATGGCCTGATTACCCGGTCCGAGTCTCGATACAAAGTCCAGTAGACCATCCATGGTGAATTTGGATATACCGGAAATAGTAACGGTGCGCAAGTTTGGCAAGCTGGCTAGGTGAGGAAGCACAATGTCATTGAGCTCCAGGCCGCTTACGTACAAATCCTCCAGTAGTGTGAGCTCAGCGAGAATGGTGACGAGATGTTCATCCCGCAGCACCTCCGGAAGGATGAGGTGCAGATCTCGCAGCTCTGTCAATTGCTTCAAAGAGTCCACGAGAGTATCCAGATCATCTCGAAACATGCCATCGGTATCGCCACTCAGGAAGAGCACCCTCAAAGAAGACTGCTGGTGTACGAGAGCCTGATGGAACGTCTTGTGATCTTTTAGCGTGTACGAGTCTATCTCCAGGCTGCTGAGTTGTATCTTCTCTTCGAGCAGTACGGGTGTGATGAGTGCGGCTCCGGATTGCATTTTCGAGAAGCTGAGGCGTTGTAGATCTGAGCATTTGCGTAGCCAGGCAGTCGTCTCGAGGAATACGTCATGTTCTGTCGCTTCCAAGTCTACAGTACCATGGATGTCCTCAATGCGCAGCGTTTTTAAAGCTGTGCATCCTTGAAGTAGCGACAGATGTGGTATCGACTCGTTCGAAACACACAGTCTCAGATCCTCTAGCGAATTTCCATGGTGATTGAGAGCTAATAGTGACTCGGCGCCGGCCTTGACGTCGCTGATCGTTTGTAGTGTTTGGAGCGTGTTCGGCCGCATGGACGAGAGGAATTTGGCGAACTTGTGATCGTTGTCTTCTGAGACCCAGGTATAGATCATAAGAGATTTGAACTGCGGGCAGTGGTCGTAGATGGATGCATGGACCAGTTCGTCTTCTAGTGGCTTTCCGTCCCACAGCTCAAGGCTCTGTAGTCGAGGAAGCCGGGGCGTCCATCGTACGAGAGCACCAGGCTGGACTAGTATAGTTAGCTCATATCCGAATGTTAAGAAGAAGGATGGACTTACGTTCACCGCTGATGATCTCCAGGGTTGGAGTATGCTGTGTGACCACTGCACCACGTCAGTATCGTACTGAACAGCTTCGCGCATTTATCAAACCTTCACCAATCACGTCGATGATATCCGCTGTCTTTATCCGAGTATACTTTCTACCTTTGATGTTTGTCCCTGTCTCAGTCTTCTCGAACTGCTTCAACGGCCCGGAGAAGAATTGCCTGTTTCACAATCAGAGTTGGTGGTGTCTGACATCGAAGCTGTACTGACTTGGAAACTTTCGCACGAAATTGGTCGTCATCGAGGAGATATCCCAGGTCCCGAAAGTCTAGCGATTTGATATAACGGCAGTATGGGAATAGTGTGACATCGAGTGCAGATGCGACAATCGATCGCCAAAGAATGGACCTAAAGATGGGTGTACGTAGTCAGTGTCTCTCTCATACAGTTCGTACGGTGAAGTTTACGTACCATTTTTGGATCGTGAGAAGCTTGGTGGCAGCTGGTAAGCCATAGAGGTCTTCTCCTCCACCTCGAACAGGAGCGAGATGATGAGATCTAACGATCGTGTCAGTTAGATGACGATAAATTAGCGAGGCCAATGCGACATACTTGTAGAGATGAGTTAATGCAGGTACGGCGAGAGCACGGCTGGCGCAAGCACAGTTGAAGAGTGTGTCGAACTGTTCTTGATTCGCAAGCTCTTCGCATAGGAGATGCAGAATATCATCAGGCAGCGCTGACTGAGTCATTTTGTTTGCACTAACGAGGGCTGATATCGTGCTCCTAAGAAAGGTGAATGGATGGGCGCCCATGAGAGTAGGCGCGATGATGTCAATGCGCTAGCGCGTGTTTGACGCGCTCTTCCCGCTTTCGGTCGCCGGGGCTCGTCGCGATGCCACCCAAACACCCGGCGACAATGCGAGCAGTCGCACCAAGACAAAATGGTTGCCCTCAACTTCACCCTGACGCCCGAGGCAGCGTCTAAGGTTCATGATCTGCTTGTTTGCCTCGGCAAGTTCAGCGAGACTGTAGCCATTGAAGCGCGTCGCGAAAAGGTAGGTTTGCCTCTCTTCCTTCTAGTCAGTCCGGCATCTCATACCTCTTGCGTCAGTTCACATTTACCGCTCTCAACTCTTCCAAATCCGCATACGCCGCCATCACATTAGACGGTCGACAATTCTTCGCCAGCTATGAATGTGTGCCGACTTATGGCGGTCCTGACGGCCGCTTCACGTGCAGTATGTACACCAAAGCGCTCTTATCGGTCTTCAAAAGCCGCTTGTACGACCCACTAGGGCGTGATGGTGCAATCGATCGCTGTGAAGTCAGCGTGCAAGAGCGGGAAACCGAGGCGCAATGTCGATTCATCGTCAAGATGATCTGCAACCAGGGCGTCATCAAGACCTACAAGCTCACATATGAAGCCGTGGACGTCATGCATGCACTGTTCGATCGCAACGCGGCGAAAAACAGGTGGAGTATGCACTCCGGGGCTGTGAAGGAGTACGCTGAGTACTTCGGTACCAAGACCGAAATGCTCGATATCTTTGCGAGTGAAGACGGACGCTGCGTATTTAAGAGCTACACAGAAAAGATCTCGAACGGGAAGGAAATCCTGAAGCATCCACTTGTCACGGCCGTCGCGGTCAATACGTCTGACTTCGAAGAATTTACTGTGCAGGCGGGTATGCACATCATCATAAACGTCAAGGATTTCAAGGCAATAGTCGTCCATGCAGACACAATCAAGACAAGCTTAAAGGCCTTTTACTCCCAGCCAGCGCGACCACTTCAGTTCAGCTATGGAAGCGATGGGCTGCTCTGTGAGTTTACGCTAATGACTTCTGGCAACCACACCGCCGCTCCATCTGCGCCAACACCTGCGACGCACGCAATGAGCAGTAGACAAACCTCTCGCACGGCCTCAACCACGACTGCGGAGCGTGGACAGGGTCGCAACTTCCGATCTGGTATGCCACCGCCTGTGCAACCAGCATCACGACGCGATGCCTCTGGCCGAGTGCGGAACCCAGGATCTCGTCAAGTCTCGGCACTCCAAGCACAACCTGCCCGTGACGATTCGGAAAGCCTCTTCGTACCGGAGGATGAGGACGCAGCCTGGGCCCCGGTAGACTATGATAAGGAAGAGACTCTGGGATGGGATGCGAATGCTAACAACGATGCTGCAGCTTTCCCAACATTCACGGACAGTGTTGGTGTGTCGAAGACGAACACGGCGGACAGCAATGAAGTGTTTGAGCCTACGCAACGTGTATCGCAGATCAAGGGACTATGGTAGTCACACGACACAGGCGAACGCATTTTGCACACAGTGAGCTGGTTAAGGCCCAAAGCTCACCCCAGCTGTCGCAAAAGTTATATAACTACATTCCAACAACACCAGCTTCTCAGCTTCTCAGCTTTTTACGCAATGTCTCCACTAGTGTCTCCTCAGTCTGTTCGCAAAGTGGTGGATGCCATCGACATTGAGACCTGTGGTGAGCTTTGAGGTCATACCATCTTCCTTGCACAACTGCATCATACGCGGATGCTGATTCAACTGTAGAAGATATAGAGAGGAATGATTCATTAAGATCGTCGGCATTGATGCGCGCGATTGGGATTGGTGATGGTGATGGTGGCTTGATATATGCGGGTCGGCGTGGACGGTCTCTGAGATGTTTAACTTTTGTACATAATCGGTTCATGTACTCTGAATCTCACGTTAGTGAAAATATCTAGCAGAACTTCTTCTGCTACCGCCGATCTACCGAATCATCAATATTAGAGAATGGATTCCTTCAAGGCTGACCTAGGTATAATTGATAAAAACACTAGATATCATCCAAGATATCGAGAGCAGCACGCGCACAGAAATACAATGTCGTGCAACCTTCCACCACATCGGATGCGCAGCTTCCACGGCGTGCGACAGCATCAAAGGTGCGAGTCGATGACGTGGATCTCGCGTACGCATATTCGCGGATGGTGGGGCTCCAGGGCTGTCTAGAGAAAACGATGTAAGGGATCTCACTAGTTATTGTATCCAAACGATCGTAAAGCAACGCCTGCATACTCTTTTCGGTCGACAATGGCACCCAAACGCATTCTAGTAATCGCTGGCTCAGACAGTTCGGGTGGGGCGTACGTACGCGTGCATGCATCCGCCCTTCATCAGCCACACACCACTAACCATGCTGCCACGCCAACAGCGGACTAGAAGCAGACCAGAAGGTCATTGCAGCGCATGGCTGCTATGCCATGACGGCCACGACTGCCTTGACAGCCCAAAACACCCTAGGCGTCCAAGATATACACCATACCCCGCCGGACTTTGTGCGGAAGCAGATCGATGCTGTCTGTGAAGATGTGGGCGTCGATGTGGTCAAGACAGGTGGGATGACATTCAGAGAGCCACATTCTTTTGGTGAACGCGCTGATAAGATACAGGCATGCTTGCATCTGCCGAGACCATTATGGTCGCCGCGGATGCTTTGAAGAGACATGAGATCAACACCAGTATCATTGATCCTGTACGTCTAAGATTTATTCTCGATCGCTTTATACCAACATAAACGAGCTCCGTGCTGTGCTGACTACATGGACAGGTAATGGTGTCAACATCTGGCTCACAGCTCCTTCCCGAAACAGCCATAGAAACCCTGATTCGACACCTTCTGCCTCACACAACGCTTCTCACACCAAACCTTCCTGAGGCTCGCTTGCTCCTCCAAACGGCCGGTTTCGATCTTCCTGATCCGAAGAATGTTGATGACATCGTCTCAATGGCGCAGCATGTCCGGTCACTAGGACCCAAATGGGTGTTACTGAAGGGGGGCCATTTACCATTGACCCATGGCCGGGTAGTGAGCACGCACGACAGCGAAAAGGAAGTCGTCTTGAACGTCCTCGTGGGTGATACTGGAGTTACCATGCTAGAAAGCCCGTATCTGCAGTCGAGGAACACGCATGGGACAGGGTGTTCATTGGCATCCGCTATTGCGTGTAATCTGGCGAAGGGAATGTCGATGGCCAAGGCGGTCAAGAAGGCCAATCTATACGTTGAAGCAGGCATCAAGACAGCTGTCGATATGGGAGGGGGCAGCGGCCCAATCAACCATTTCCACTCGATGTACATGCTACCTTTCACGCCAGGCAACTTTATTAGCTATCTGCTCGACCGAGAAGACGTACAGAAGCCGTGGAAGGAATATACCCAACACGAGTTCGTGCAGAGTATGGGCGCTGGGACATTGCCAGTGGAAAAGTTCATGTACTACCTTGTGCAGGACTACCTCTTCTTGGTAAGTATATGCCCAAGCATGTTCAATCACCGTATAGGAGAGAGTAACTGACTAGTGTGAAGGTCCAATTTGCAAGAGCGAACGCGCTGTCCGCATACAAATCTAGCAATCTGAAAGACATTGGGTACTCCGTGCAACAAGTCGTCACCCTCCAGGAAGAGATCAAGCTGCACATCGACTTCTGTAAAGAGTACGGACTATCGGAAGTCGATATCATCGAAGAAGAAGAGGACCAAGCCACCACGGCATACACCCGTTATGTGCTCGACATCGGCATGTCGCAAGACTATCTTGCTCTGCAGATTGCGCTTTTGCCGTGTCTCATCGGTTACGGCATTATTGCCAAACGTCTCTACGAAGATCCCAGCACCGTGAGGGTGGGAAGCAAGTACTGGAAGTGGATTGAGCAGTATGTGGCAGAAGAGTACAGGGAAGCGATGATGAGGGGCAGTGAGCTGGTAGAGAAGCATGCCGAGGGACTGAGTCCGAGCCGGGTGGAAGAGCTGGCGAAAATCTTCATACACGCTACAAATGTGAGTGCTAGGCTGAAGATGACAGTCGGCCCACATGCTAATGTTGTATAGATGGAGAAAGGGTTCTGGGACATGGGCCTCAGAGCTGGTGATGGGCTAAGGTGAGAACCAGGGCACAGGGTTGTATCCTAGGTTCTAGGAAAGCATCGGGTTGTCTCGTCATCGTGCAGGAGTACACTTTCACATTCTCGCATTGCTTCGAGAAGTAGGTATCAGGGCGTGCAATATGCGGGTCGTAATGGAAAATGCTTCGCATTCACTCAGATGCAGGGCCCACAGTGGCGACATGGTCTTCGGTTTTCTTGGTGGCTTCCCCGGGCTGATAACGGCAAGCTCCGCCCTTACCCAACTGGGCGAGACCCTGGTGCTAGCGGCGCTAGCGTCTCAAAAAATGTGCAAGCGCAACAGAGGCAAGGCAACTTTTCCTGTCGCGCTCTGCCCTCTGCCTTCCTCTCACCCCAACTCGCAACCTCTACAATTTGTGCTTCTTTTATCGCACAACACGCGACACTTTTACAGTCGCTCTACTGCAACTAATATCTTCTCGTAGTCTCCAGACTTCGACACACGCTCCCTTACTCGATCGGTTCCCCCTTGACGCCAGTCTCTACAACACACTCTCACATCATGTCTTCCTACGGAGGCGGTTACGGCGGCGGCGGCGGTGGATACGGCGGCGGCGGTCGCGGTGGTGACCGTGGCTACTCGAACGGGTACGAAAACAGCAACGCTGGATATGGGTCTTACAACAACTCGACAAGCCATTATGCATCGTACGGGTAGGACGATACACCCCCTTCACACGGGAACGGCATCACAGTCGTGGTTCTTGGACAGCCCTCCATCTGCTACCATTCTTTCTCTCCCTTCTGCGCGCAGTCTGAGTTCGATCGTCCTGTCCGGCTGTCTCACAGTCGAAGCGGGCGGTCGCTTACTCTATGCGACAACGTAGAATCCCCCTCCTGTCACTCATCTCATCTCATCGACATCTGCTAACATCTATCTAGTGGCGGCGGCTACGGCGGCGGCGGTGGTGGTGGCTACTCCGGTGGCGGTGGTGGCTACGGCGGAGGAGGTGGTGGTTATGGCGGCGGCGGCGGCTTTGGCGGTGGTCGCGACGGCGGCGACCGCATGTCGCAACTCGGCCAGGGCCTGAAGCAGCAATCATGGGGTACGTTCCATTGTCTTGTATTGGCTCCGCGCAACGCTAACACTCCCCAGATCTCGACACGATGCCCAAATTCGAGAAGTCCTTCTACAAGGAGGATCCCGCTGTTACTGCTCGTTCAGCAGCCGAGGTTGCCGAATACCGCAAGGAGCACCAGATGACCGTCAAGGGCGAGAACATCCCCAAGCCCGTCACAACCTTCGACGAGGCTGGCTTCCCATCATACGTGATGAACGAGGTCAAGGCCCAGGGCTTCGCCAAGCCCACTGCTATTCAGGCTCAGGGTTGGCCTATGGCTCTTTCTGGTCGCGACGTTGTTGGTGTTGCCGAGACCGGTTCCGGAAAGACGTTGACCTATTGTCTTCCTGCCATCGTTCACATCAACGCTCAGCCTCTCCTCGCCCCCGGCGATGGCCCTATCGTCCTCATTCTCGCGCCCACTCGTGAGCTTGCTGTCCAGATTCAGCAAGAGATCAGCAAGTTCGGAAAGTCCTCGCGCATCCGAAACACCTGCGTCTACGGAGGTGTTCCAAAGGGTCCCCAGATCCGTGACCTTGCGCGCGGTGTTGAGGTGTGCATTGCCACTCCTGGACGTCTCATCGATATGTTGGAGGCTGGAAAGACCAACCTTCGCCGTGTTACCTATCTGGTTCTCGATGAGGCCGACCGCATGCTTGACATGGGTTTCGAGCCTCAAATCCGCAAGATCATCGGACAGATTCGCCCTGACCGTCAAACCTGCATGTGGTCCGCTACATGGCCCAAGGAAGTTCGCCAGCTTGCTGCCGACTACCAGAAGGATTGGATCCAGGTCAACATTGGTTCCATGGATCTCTCTGCCAACCACCGCATTCAACAGATCGTCGAGGTCTGCACAGAGTTCGAGAAGCGTGACCGCATGGCCAAGCACCTCGAGACCATCATGAGCGACAAGGACAACAAGATCCTTATCTTCACAGGTACCAAGCGCGTTGCTGACGAGATCACCCGATTCCTTCGTCAGGACGGCTGGCCGGCGCTCTGTAAGTTGCATCGCATGTCATAAACTGATCACCGCTAACTCGTCTCCAGCTATTCACGGCGACAAGCAGCAGAACGAGCGTGATTGGGTCTTGAACGAATTCAAGACGGGCAAGAGCCCCATCATGGTTGCCACCGACGTGGCTTCCCGTGGTATCGGTATGATTGCAAACCCCCAACACTCCCCCCTCCTCACCTCCCCAACTATTGTTATGCGTGAACTGCCATTGTGCTCTGCTTAGGTCGTCTTGTGCGCTCGTTACACTCGCTCCCATGACATCGTCCAGGGCTTGCCTCTCTCGAATCTGATCCCCAGGGATCCTTGGTTACGCTGGCGAAGCTTTCAGTCTTCGCTATCTTCTGTTTCTGGTATTACCAAGGTACTACTGAAGCAAGCTGCTTGAGATATCTGACTTACACAAGTCGCACTCTCTTCCAAGGGTTTCTGGACCAGGAGACATCCACAGCCTTCCCACTGGACTTGATGCCGTGACATTCGTTGTAGCGCACAGAGACGGTTGCATGCAACATACTGCAGCTTCACGCGATCCAATCATGATCGTCGTTTGCTCGTTCCTTTCATCAGTCACTAACCTTTGCTCTTCAAGATGTCCGCAACATTACTCACGTGTTCAACTATGACTACCCGAACAACTCGGAGGACTATGTCCACCGCATTGGTCGTACTGGTCGTGCTGGCGCTAACGGTACTGCCATCACCCTCTTTACCACAGACAGTATGTATCTTCGACCCTCCTCTGCAAAGCATTCACTAACAGCTTCATCAGACTCCAAGCAAGCTCGTGATCTCGTCCAGATTCTCACAGAGTCTAAGCAGCAGATTGATCCTCGTCTGCACGAGATGGCCCGCTACGGTGGCGGCGGTGGCGGTGGTGGTCGCTGGGGAGGTGGCCGCGGCCGTGGTGGAGGCCGTGGCGGAGGCCGTGGTGGTAGGTGGTAGAAGTCCCTTCGACACCGAGCGAGATCTAACGCCCATCTCAGGCTGGACCGGAGGTAACAGCGATCCCATCCGCAACAGCCGCTGGTGATCACTTTATCCATCGCACTTGCTTATTCACATTGTCAGAACGATGAGCACCCTTTCTCCAACCTGCTCTCGGCGTTGGAGGCAATCGTTTCGGACTTGCTTCATCTTTCATCCCATTTCCACGTGCGACGGAAAGCCGCTGTACCTGCTCAGGTTCTGTCGTACCCTGATACCCCATGGACAGAGCTTTGATCTTCATGCATGGACACGATTTCAGTATGGTAGCATGGTTCTTCTACATTAGACTGGCATTGTTTTGTTTTCCTCTATCGAGGTTGCGCCTATTCAGCAATCCCTTGCATGATGGCGCTGGTGGCGTTTATGTCCAGAAAAGTTTCTGTAACTGTAATAGCGATATAGAATACACGTACTGCGTATCTTACTATGATATCCGCTTGATCTGACGGTCTTGCCTTGCGCTGGGTTCACACTCCTGTAGTTTACTGATCAGCTGCTATAGTCAGACGATTCAACACGTCGCTGAACCCTCTCTCTATCGACGCCCGAACGCTGAACATTGCCGACATCTCTTGACTAAGCCCGCCGCCTGTTCGAGGCTCTTTGTCTTCATAGGCCTGATGGTGGTTGCAACATCATGTTCGTCAAAGTGGTCACTTGTGATCTGGACGCATGACCTGTCGGTTGCATCCAAGTCCGGTGGAACCTCTGCAAGAAGTTGAGTACGGGCCGATCCATCAGGAGTCTCATTTTGACCTCGCGAGAGAGGAGGAAATAGATCATCGGAAGAATGGAAAATGGATGGGCACGCTTGGTGAGATCACAATGTGCACTAAGAAGACGACCACGTATTCCGACTAGATACGTTGGCTAGATAGAGCGGGTAAACAGCGCAACTTAGAGGTATTTGCACCCAAGCCAATCTGTATCCTAATTTTTGCAATTAAAGATCATTGCAAGCTAGTGATGGAGGGGTATACGTCAATGTGGTGCTATATAAGTATATGGAGTCAGGTTGCTTTTGTAGCGAGACGGTGGAGCATAATGTCATGTTTGTTTGTATGACTTTGTTGTATAGTACAACACAGCCTAAGACAGTACGTTGGATCAGATGCATACTTGAGAGACCGTCGATCTATTATTGTAAACAAGGACTTATAGATGTTGCTGCTCTGCTTGTATACAGAAATTTGTGCCTTACAGGCGTACCTATGATAGCAACGAAGAAGACGAGTACATATGCAGTCACCCAAAAGCTTGCTTTACCCTTCCTGAAGAAACATCATGGATGTTTTGTTTAGAGAGGCGATGTACATCTACTACGTTGGAATTATGTCGAGGCTTATCTGTAGACACGATATGAGGGTGTATGATTATATCATTAACTACTTCAGTTTGCAATCAGGTCATGTTCGATCGCAGTATTCTTGACGCATCATTCATGCTGTACATACACTTTTCCACTGTGCGATCTTTCGCTTGAGAACTGTATTCTCACCGGCTCTTTATGCCGATAAGCAGTGTCTACCCGCAGTACGAGCAGACCCGTTGCCCTCTTTAAGCTATCACCGTGAACCCTTCAACTGCGCTCGAAAAGATTTGGAATTGCGTCCACGGTTCATCACGCGGCAGTTGCTGCGGGAATGAGGTTCATGGTGAAATTCATGCGCACTCATCACTATTCCCTTGGGACACTGGTCATTATCTTCGGCTCGGGGTTGCCTTCGGATACGGGGTCGTGAACAGCGATGCATAGCCTCAACGTGGCCCCAGCCCCACTGCGACTGCCCAATACCTCTACTCATTAGTTGTCGGTGTCTGGTACGCATCACTTTATTGTGGAGCTACAAGAAGTTTCTGGACTCATGTGTCGTGCTTCAGGATCTAGAAGTAAGGACTTCTGGTCGTTTGGTGAGCAAGACACAGAAAAAGTGGTAGCGAGAAAACATGACTGACGTACCAGAACATCGTCACCCAACACACGACCTTGTGGTCAGAGGGTGAAGGCTAGAACAACATCTCTTGCTTGGGCGCTCATGAAGACCGGCATGAATATTGCGAACGGAAAAGATAGCTCGATAGACCATGAAGCTTGAGGAGGCTGGGAGGTGCCATTGTCTGCATCATAAACTCACATGTATGCAGGGTTTCAGGCAGAACCACGCACTCACTCACGCTGACGATTATACCGGAGTTTTTGTACTACAACCTTTTGTATACCGATGGGCAGGCTTCACCCCTGAAATACCCTCAGGAAGGCGTTGATGATAGACATTCGAGGGCCTTCAAGCGACGCATGCGATCGTTGATCCCGGTCGCACGCACTCTCCAGTAGGAAAAATCGATTGTACAGTAAGTGTGGTTATGGGGTTTTTGAAGCGTATACATGACGAAAGTTTCCAGGAAGAGTGAACACGGTGAGACGAATAATAATGAGTACGCGTGTACGTACATGAACATAACAGTCGGTTTGAGCTGCCCAATAATCATATCAACCAAACTAGTCACTCGATGAGAGAGACCACGGTAGTACTATCGAGAGATAATACAGAGCTAATATGGAAACGCTCAGGTGGATGAAGGGGAGACGGAACACTCGGTGCTTCCTCGCCGTAGGATAGACGCGTCCCCGGGACGTCCCGGATGATAACCACCTAAAGACTGGATGCGCACTATCTAGGCAACCGTGTCGATACATTATATGACGATACATCTATTCATACTTGTACCTTGGGCTAGGAGAGGAAAGGATAATTAGGACACTGGAGTGGTTTCAACCTCGCCATCTAAAGCGCATGTATGGACTGGTCTATAGCACCTTACCTAGTGACACCCCAAGTGATAGACGTCGTAAAGAATAGAGCCGAGACAGAGTAAAAGCCAAGACCACGGCGAGGCAGATTGAGCATGGAGATGATGGCAGGGAGCGGCCGCTGACCGGACAGTGATCGCTGCGATGGCGCAAGATGCGATCGTTCTCAAGGAGCGGATGATCCGCTCGTGCGGGAGGAACGCAACGGACGGACTACAAGTGTAGACGTCTTTCTAGGGGATCGATACCATCCATGGAAGCGAAAGCAAATCCTGAGAAGCGCTTGCCAATGCCCCACGTCTGACTGTGAGTCGCGGTCTAGTTTCGGTGTCGTGCAGTAGCGGGATCGAGTGCAACGTCAGAGTGCAGCAAATTACTCGCTGTCTGACAATGGGGCGTCATTGTCCAGATGTTACAACGCCAAGAAAGCAATCTGACTACCACATTTGCGCCCAGCAGGTGTCTCCCGGTGGAGCCGGGTATGGACATCATCATCATCATCATCGTCGTGTTGGTGACAAGACTTACAGGTTTTCCGCGGAAACAGCTACCCACGGAAGGTAGCCCGACTGCAGATGACCGTCCCGAGGCGAGCACGGCGATGTCCATTGAGGGTTTCGTTGGATTGTTCGAGATTGCTGTGGATGTGCCCTGCAATAATTACCGCAAGGTGAGACTGTCCCGAGGTTCACCAGATCTGGAATGTGTCTTATGGCAGATCCTTTCGTTTGAACTCCGCACAATCGAAGCCCATGAAGATCAGCAAGGCCATAGGATGTAAAGGTTGGGCATCCCTGTCACCGAAACCAAGACCCAAGCGCCGCAAGAGACGATTGCTGCTACGATGGCAACACCAATAGCAGGGAAGATGTGGCTCGACAAAGCCAAAGCCCCATGACGCAGCTCGCTTTCGTGTTCTTTCATGCAAGAGGCATTTGCACGAACTGTAGTTCGGGCAGTGGGTGACAGGTCGCCGGCCACTAACTACGTACTGGAACGCATGAGCCTTGTGCTGAACCAGAAAACCGCTTCTTGGAACTAGATCGCGCTATTGCCCGGCGAATTGGCGGCCCAGCTTTAGACTCCGTTTCATCGTGCACATTTGTAAACTAACACACAACAAGCTTTATCGATTTTCGACGGGGACTCGACGTGTTCCAAGTACGGGGGGCTGGGGACAGTCGTCAGAAACCTTCGCGCCAACTTGTAGCGGGTAGATGCCGACAGACATGCATCTCATGACTGCGTTTTCATGGGTTGGATAGGACCGACCCTGTCGCCTGGCCATCGGATACAGTGCTTCCACAAAGTGTGTCGGATGCCTTTCTTGACTCGGGGTCGGGAAGATTTGCAGAGAGCGGAATGTGGAGAAAGTCGGAACAGCTGAACAGTGAAGATGTCCGTTCGAGGCAGCGCTCAGATCCGCTAAGGCATCGTAGTCATGGGCGGAGGAGGTAGGGAAAGAACAGACGAGGAAGAGAGACCTGGAGCAAATGCAGGTGACGACTGGGATGAGGCACAGCGTGCAGGCCAAGCTCACGCCATGTCGCATCGAGACAAGGAGGCAGAGACGATCTGCGGGCTCCAACGTCGGCCATTCTTCGGTGGCTCTGGGCGCAGCTCCCGCGGGCAACTAAGTAGGGTTGTTGAAGAAGCATTATTTGTCAAACAAGATCGTGATTCGGGTGCACCTACATTACCAAACGGGGTGGGCCATGATTCCGCAGAAACCGGAGTGCTGGCATGCGCATGGCCGTTGTCAATGCCGTAGATGGTGTGTCGGGTAATACGGCCAATGGTTTAGTATGGGCCTTCCAAACAAAAGTGGGTTGGGAAATGCAGAACTATGTCATGACCAAGGTTTCGATGTTGCAGACGAGGGAGCATCGCGAAGAACAGTGGACGTGGTCCAGAGCAGGCCAAGGCGAATCGGGGAGATTAGGGGACATGTTTACAGTTGTGATGAGAGGAAGTTGCAAAAGCGCGGGTTACTGAAGAAGGAAGGCGCTACAGGGCGTTGTGCGACCCCGGGAGCAGCGTGATCCGGAGTTCGCACCGACGTCGCACACAGCATCATATACACGCCTAGCTATTGACGTGCATGTGTGCATTTCACCACCACCACCATGGCCACGCACGTCTACTTCGCCATATTACCTTAGCACCTGGCGAGACTGAGAATCACCTGATGATCAGGCTAGTGCAAGCTCATAGATGCCGACCCCAAGACT